CGACCTGTAGAGTGATTACAAATTAACATGGACAGACGGACAGACGGACAGACGGACGGACGGACATACATAGCTAGATCGACTCAGCTCGGCGAGCTAGGAAGATCCATATATACTTTCCTATGTGGGAAATCAATATTTCGTGGTGTTACATAATTTTTGGCCCAATCAAACTTATAATACCCCCAACACATAGTGTTGTAGGGTATAAAAAATATTTGTCAAAACTACATAGTGGCTATACAAAATCATGAACTTTTTCAAATTACTCTACACGCTTCTCCTGACCAAAAATCGTTGGTATTTGAAGAAGTATTAAAGGACCTCCAGACGAAAAATCGTGGATTTTTAATGCAATATTTTTAAATGACATTCTGACCAGAAGAAAGATTTCTAAAAATTGAAAATTTCTTACGGATATTTTTAAAGGAACTCCTTACTAAAAAATTAGAATTTTCGAAGAAGGATCTCCGTACCAAAAATAGTGAATTTTTTAGAGCATTTCATTCAATAGCATTTTGACAAAAATCGGAGGTCCTTAAAAAAGAGCACAAATAATGTGAATTTTTAAAAATACTTTTTACAATGTCCTTCTGAATCGTGAATGCACAAAACATGGATTTTTTGAACATTTTTACAGGTCTTCCATACTAAAACTCTTTATTTTTTACATATTTTCGTACCAAATATCCTGAATTTTTAATATTTTTTTTAAAATGTAATTTTTTGTGAGGAACTCTTGAAGAATTGTTTTCAAAGAATCTTCTGAACAAAAATTTTGGATCCTTAAAAATATTTTTAAAAGGACCTCCTGATTAAAAATTTTACATTTCATAAAAATTTTCTTACATGTTTTACACCTGACCAAATCATGGGTTTTTTGAAGAAAAATCTTTGAAGGAATCCCCGACTAAAAAATACGGGATTTTTGAAGTGGTATTAAATGTAAAAATTTAGATTTAGATTTTTTTACATTAGATTTAGATTTTGTGTATAAATTTAGATTTTTTGTTGTTGTTGTATATTGTTGACCTGTTATATTTATTTTACTTTTACTTTATAATTACTTGGCTTAAAGTCATTAAAAAACTATGTTTTTCCAATATTTCGATTTCCTCCGGAAATCATCTTCAGGGATGATTTAAAGTAAAAGTCTAGTCTATCAAACTTAATAGTGATATTTAAACTGAATAGCTTTTACTTTAAAATATCCCTGAAAATATTTAGATTTTTAAAATATTTTTATGATTTCCTGACCCAAAACCGTGAATCTTATGACAAGAAGCTTCTGAACGAAAAGCGTGCATTTCAGAATTTTTTAAATTATTTAGGCCCCTCTTAACGAATATGGTAGATTCCCAAGAATTATTTACAAGGAATCCAGACTAATAATCTTGGATACTTGAAGAGATATTTTTAAAGAACCACCTGCACAAAAATCTTGGATATTTTTTTGGCCTTTCTGGTGAAAAGCTTTGGTTATTTAAGAAAATTTTTATGATTTTCTTGTACAATACCATTTGCAAAAATCGTTGTAAAGAAATTTGGGTTTTTGAAATATTTTTGTGATTTCCTGGCAAAAAGTCATAAATCTTTCAGAAACCCCTGACAATAAATAGTGGATTTTTTAGAATTTTTTACAAGGACCCCAAGACTAAGACCTATTTTTCAAGGATTTTGGTAAAAATTTGTGTGATTTCCTGATAAAAATCGTGTTTTTTAAACAATTTAATAGATATATCCTGTGAAAAATACCAGTCTGGCGTTATTCAAGAACTTCACCACACGGATGAAAAAAAAAAAAACAAATATTGGAAGTACAAGTTAGATGAAATGGCTAATTTCGAAATTCCTTTACTTCGACTATGTTCGATTTGTTAGAATTATAGTGAAGGACGATCGAGAATCGGTGGTTTATATATGGCTCCAAATTTAAAATCCCTAGCCCAGAGATTTCTATCTTGTTTCAGATCTCCGAAAAACTCGTTCTTACCGACTTAGCTCGACTTACCCGAGTTCGAGCGGAAGCGCTCCTGGGCACAGGGAAAAATCAACCAATCTCAATTTTTCGATGTCGCTTGAATAGGAGTGAGCTTAATTTCGTCGTTTTTGAGCGGAAGTAAAATTAATCGAAAGTCTACCATATTCTACTCTGTCCGAGCACTCTTTCAGCTTTTGTCATACCGTTGTAGTATTTCTATACCTGATATAGTGGTCCGAAATATTCCACTTCATCTAATACAGATAAAAAAATTTGTGTGCAAAATTTAAAGAAAATCGAACATTTATATACAATTTCATACGAAATAATAGATTCCGATAAATTACAAAAATGGTTGGATGTGTGGAATTTGAAGAGATTTGGATGCTTATTCCACGTTTTATGTTTGTTTTCTTTTTCAAAACACTTTGTGGGGGAAGTACCAGAAGGAGTGCGTCTATATATCCCATTATCAGAGCAGATCCTGTGTTAGTAAAAATATTGGTTTTGGTTTTTCAAAATGTTAACCCTTTTAAGGGCAGGTACCAAAAGAAATTGTCAGATCTCTACCATCTTTATAACATATCTTGTGCTGATTGAAATATTGAGATGTGCCAAGTCTGAATGGAGTCGGATGTTAATTTCGCGTTTTATGAGCTTTGTGGATATTCAAAAATTGGACTTTTTGTGTGGCAGGTATAAGAAGGAGTGGACCGATGTGTTCCAATTTCACACCAAACCTTGTGTTAATAAAAATATTGTGATGTGTGTAATTTGAAGATAAGGGCCCTTTGGTGGGGGGAGATATTTAATGTAGTGGGCCAAAATTGTCCATTTTCGCACCTGAGCCAGCACTGATGCAAAAACGATTTGCAAGGTTGGAGCAAAATTGGACTATCCTTTCGTTTTATGTGCAATATAATTTTTCTTTGGTTTTTATACCCTACAACACTATGTGTTGGGGGTATTATAAGTTTGATTGGCCCAAAAATTATGTAACACCTCGAAATATTGGTTTCCCATATAGGAAAGTATATATGGATCTTCCTAGCTCGCTGAGCTGAGTCGATCTAGCTATGTATGTCCGTCCGTCCGTCTGTCCGTCTGTCCGTCTGTCCGTCTGTCCATGTTAATTTGTAATCACTCTACAGGTCGCAATTATGGTCCGATCTTCACGAAAATAAAAATGGAGGTGGGACTAGGGTCAGAATAGAACCCTATTTCTTTTGGTGATGATCGCATAATATTTAGGGGTTGAAATGGACCAAAAACTGAAGAAATTCCTGATTTTGCACTTGCTCTACAGGTCGCAATTATAGACCAATCGACACGGAATTTCGCATGTAGTTAGAGTTTAGGGCGGGGAAGAAGCCTACCAATTTGGGTGGTCATCGGATAATATTTAGCGGATAAAATAGACCATATATTTTGTGTTGAAAAATTCAAAATTTTTCATTAAACCGCGAATATTTTAAATCCCGGCGAAATCACAAAGCCATGACAAGGTTACTTCTGATCTTTACATTGATGTTAACATCCAACAAAATGGATATATAGCAAAATATGTGCGATATATATGTTTATCAAAGAAGATATGCTTGAAAAATCTCTTATATGTCGAGAACGGCTGAACTGATTTCAACAGTTCTCATTAATTCAGAATGGCCTCTTGGCAGGAAAGAAAAAACTTTTAAAAAAATCGCATAAAATTATCTCTCTAAAGATGAAAATATTGATTTTGTAAAATTTTCTCATATATTTTCAATTTTGTCATATTTTTGGCATATTTTCATTTTGAATTAAACCGTTGGTAATATTTCTACAGCTAACAAAACTAAGTAGTTAGTATATCAGGATATCATATACAGATCGCATTTATGGCCCGATCTTTACTAAATTTTGCATGGAGATAAGATGAGGGTCAGAATAGAAGCCTACTCTTTTTGGAGATGATCGCCATATATTTAGGGGTTGAAATGGACCACAAAAATTCAAAATTGTCTGCAGGTCGTAATTATCGCCCGGTCCTCACACACATTTGAATGGGGGTTACCGGATATTACAAAAGCCAAGCAGTTTTGGATGGACATCAGTGTGTTAAATAGTTTGCCAACTTTTGTAGACAAAATACGAAAATGTCCATTCCAGTGACTTTTTGGAGAATTCACAAATACAGGAAAGACGCACTTCTGACTATTTCGTTAACGCTGATTTCGTTGAAGAATAAATCAAATGGCGGTATCTCATATAGATGCGTTTCAGTCAAAAACAATAATAAATGTTAATCTTTTGCCACTTCTGAGAGATTATAGGTCTTTGGGAAATATTGGTTCCAGATCTAGGAAGACCATTTTCGTGCAACATCTACCAACAAATTGGAAATGAGCAAATTAGTTTAAGTTGCTATTATTCGAAAATTAGAGAACGAAACCTGATGGTTTTCTTTTATTATTTCTCACAATATCTTGTGGAATTGTTTCGAGTATCTCGCCTACATGAACTGTATCGTTTATTATAGTGTTGTAGGGTATTCAACGGTCGGCCCCGCTCGACTGTAGCCTTTGCTTACTTGTTTTTTTTTTTTTTTTGAAAATTTCGAACTTTTGTGGGGAAGTACCAAAAAGAGTGGACCAAAATTGCCCAACTCCGCACTCGATCTAAGTTTGACTATAAATATTAAGACGTACTACGTTTGGATCAAATCGGATACTCCTTTCGAGAGTTACAGTGCGCATCAGCCTGTCAGGCAGACAGACGGACGGATATCGCTAGATCGACTCGAAATTTCCCATAAGAAACGGACAATTCTTTCGGAACCTACTCCATAGAGGGCCAAGAATTTTAACAGTCAAAATATATTTAAGTAATCGAACATTGGCTGAGGGTATAAATCTGTCGGCAAAACCTAATTATGCTTTTTCACTTGTTTTTGTTTAATTTTATACAATTTAACTCCATTCATTGCATTTCAAAAGCGTACGCAATATTAAATATACCTGGTCACAATAACAAAACTTACCTTAAAATTACAATATTTTTCCACCCTCTCTCTAATGGAATTATCAAATTTCCTTCATGAACTTTGCAATACTTTATTTATATGTTAAATATTTATTGCACAATATATATATTTTTTCTTTAAAAGAATTTTTCCAATCTCAAACTCCTTCTTTTTTTTGTAATTCTTTTCCTCAATTACTTCCACGAAACTGGCCGTTAGCGATTAATTGCGGCTATTTTGAAAGCTTTTTGTATTTGTAATTTATATTTGAATTTCAATTTCAATATTAATAAATATTATTTTTTTTTTATTTTTAATTATTGGCCATTAATGGTAGCTCATTCACACCCTCGAGTGTTTATTTTCACTTTTCATTTGCAAAAGAAAAAACAAAAACAACTAAAGAAAAATATTTTTCATTTCACGCGTTTTGTTTTCTCGGCAATAATTATATTTGTTTATTTTCATAAAATCTCGAGCATTTCATCATTAGCAGCACCCAACATTAGGACCCGAGGCAATAATCAACCGTGGCACTGAGCAGCACTTGAAAAATTCTTAGCGTACATTTTTTTCATTCTTCATATCTTTAAGGGTTCTACACGCGGGCGTCGTTGTTAAGAAGACGCTATGTTTTTTTTTTCGTCTTTGTTGTTATAATTTTCCCACGTTACGATGATTTTCGCCACACATGAAATGGTTTTTCGCGTCCGCTATTTTCCGCAGTCAACAATTTGAAGAACCGGCAGTTTGGTAACGACTGACTTTGCCATCTGTGCTGTTGTGCCGCATGAAGAAGATTTTTTGCTTTCAAGTGCGTGCAATTTTTGTCGCCTGCCCCCACACCCATTCATCCACTCATCCACTTGGTTTGCTAACACACTGGCTGACTGACTGGCAGAATAGAAGCAGAAGAAGACGACGACGACCAACTAACAACAACATGCCGGCATCGCAACACCAACCATTTGCCCCAACCTGGCATGGGAAATTTGTGCAACATTTCTTCTGTTATTTCAGCCGGTCGATGGCACAGCTATCATCTGCCAGCAACCAGTCACCCAGCCAGCCAGCCAGCAACATTGTTTTGCATCAAAGTGTTGTTTCAAGTTGGATGGGGGGCGAGCACAATTTTCTCTCAATGGGGGGTTAGGTTCCACTTGTTAGAAATTGTGTTGTGTGTTGGCGCGCTTTATTAGTTTGAAGTAAATTGTGGTAGTGGTCATTGCAACATGTTTGATGTGATACAGAGGCGTATGCACAAGGGGTGAGAAGTCCCAATCATATTATTGAACCATGTAAAATATATTGAGAATGAAAATATCTAAAAAAATAGTCTTCAATATCTCCTGTATAAAAATAATCTTCTAAATAATCCTTTATACAAAGAAGACCCTCGAAAGGAATTTAACAAATTCTAAGATTTTTAGATTCGTTCCAACAATTCGTGTTAGGAATTTTTATATACCCTCAGCCAGCTGGCTTCAGAGGGTATATATCATTTGATACGACCATCGAAATAATGGTTTTAGTCCCAAGGTCTCTTTGGACATTTGTAGTTGATCTAGGGGTGCGCGTCCATATGTCTCTCTGATTGGTTGATGCGCACTGCAACTCTCGAAAGGGGTATTCGATTTGGTCCAAACTTGGTACCTTGTAATATTTTCTGTCAAACTTGTATCGAGTTCGGAGATGGGTAATATCGGTCCACTCCTTTTGGTACCTCCGCCAAACCTCGAAATTTTCAAAAAAAAAAAAATATTTTACTGCACTGAAAAGACTGAAAGAGAAAGGATCATCCGATATTCCTCCAACTTTGCAAGTCCTAAAATTTCCACCAATGCTACGTCAGGTGCCAAAAGTGAACAATCGCGGTCCACTCCATCATGTACCTTCTTCCAATAGGATCAAAAATTTGAAAAATTATAACTCTTATAAAATATGCTGAAAGAGTCTAATTGTCTTCAAATTACACACATCACAATATTTTTATTAACCCAAGGTCTGGTGGGAAGATGGAATATATTGGTCTACTCCTTCTGGTACCTCCCCCACAGAAAGGGTCAACATTTTCAATACCCATGAATCTTATAAAACGCGAAATCTGCATCCAATTCCATTCAGACTTGACAAATCTCAATATTTCTATAGGCAAAAGGTCCGTTATAAAGATACGAACTATCCCTTCTGGTATCTCCCCCACAAAGGGTCAAGGTTTTGAATAACTAACTAACTAACTTTTGAATTGTATATATATATATATATATCTACGTTTTGGTATAGCTCCCATATAAGGGTAGCCACCGATATTCAGTATATAACTGTAGCAACCGATATGGGTTCTAGTTCCGTAGCAGAACACTGAACACGTTTTCCTATAGCGCATATATAACGGCATATAGTGCACATAACCTATCGATAATCCTAGTCCTGGGGGCTATGCGAAAACGTGGATCTGTCACCCATTTCGAGCTCCAAATACCAAATTTGAAATAAATCCGATGAAAAGTCTAGCTAAAATCATCAGAATACCGAATATTGGGTGCTACCGTTATATGGAAGTAATACAAAAACGTGAAGGTAGTATCCATTAGGAACTCCAAATACCAAAATTGATACAATTCTGTGTAGAAAAATGTGACACTAATCATCCAAATACTGAATATGGGGGGTACAGTCATATGGGGACTGTATCTAAAATTGGATCTTTATGGACAGTTCTTTGCGAAGATGTTCCCTACATATTGGAAACATAAAATGTTGTTAAAAATATATATCTTAAACAGCCAAAAACACCCTAAAACTGGAGGTACAGTTATGTGGGGGCTATATCAAAAAGTTGACTTTTTTGCCCATTTTCAATACCAAAAATTCTGCGGTTAAAAATATTTCCCAAGTCCTCTTTATCTATGCAAGACTTACCATTTCACATTCCGTTTTTGGTCCCATCTCTGCTTGCAACCAAAATTATAGCAAACCTGTTTGTTGCAACCAATTACTTACATACATGTTGTATTTACATTACTAGTTGCCCCAAAAAAAAACCAACAATCTCCCCCCTGCACAACATTTGTTGGATGTTGGTTGCTTGAGGAAGGTTCGCACATTCGTGACATCAACGGGGGAAAGACGTTGTTAATAAATTATAATCAACAAGTGGCATATTCTTATAAGAATATATTGTATGTCGTGGTGGAGTGTGTTTGTTCATGCAGGAGGGTGAATATTGTCGTTCTAATTCACGTGTAAAAATGCAACCGCGGAGAATTGTGTTCTTGGGATAATGGCAAGATACTAACGGGCATTGAGGGATTCATTAGAAATTTTCTTTGCAAATTCCATTTTATAAAATAAATGGTAAGTGCGTGTGGACGGTACTGGTAAATAGAAAGATTAACATTGTCGAATATCTGTTGTGGTATTTACTAATAGTTTGGTAAATTAGGTTTTTATTAAATTTTTTTAACATTCATATGTAAACTCACTTGAATCTTAGTTAAAAAATATCAGTCGGTCTTGCCGATATGTGTATAACCCTCAGCCAATGTTCGATTATTTAAATATATTTTGACTTTTGTTATGATTATTCAAATTGTTGACCCTCTACGGAGTGGGTTTCAAAGGGCAAAATTACAAGAAAATCAAACATTTACATTTGTATTGAAAATTATGACCCTTTGTGGGGGAGGTACCAGAATGGGTTTTGCAAATATATATCATCTTCACAACAGATCGTGAGTTAGCAAAAAAGAGTTGGATGCTTATTTTGCTTTCTTTGAACATTTTGTTTTCCAAAATCTTGAACCCCATATTGGAAAGGTACCAGAAAAAATGGTTCAATCTCCATCATCTTTATAAAAGAGCTTGGGTTGAAAATATTGAGTTGTATGGAATAGGATGTTACTTTTGCGTTTTATGGTATTCAAAATGTTGACCCTTTTTTAGGGGAGGTACCAGAATGAGTGGACCGACATATCTCATCTTCATAGCAGATCTTGTGTTAGTAGAAATAATGGGATGTGTGAAATATGAAGAGAACCGCATGCCTATTTCGCATTTTATGATCGTTTTGATTATTCAAAACTTTGAAGATACCAGAAGAAATGGTCGGATCTCTACCATATTTATAACAGTTGTTGTGTTGGTGGAAATATTGAGATGTACCAAGTCTGGATGGAATTGGATGATAATTTCGCGTTTTGCGAGCTTCATGGCTATTCTAAATTTTTACCCCTTGAATGGGAATTTCCCGGAAGGAGTGGACTGATATATTGCATGTTCCCACCAGAACTTGGGTTAATAATTATATTTGGTTTATATATAATCACATTTTATAAGAGTTATAATTATTCAAAATGTTGACCTTTTTGGGGGAGCTACTTGATGGTGTCAACCGATATTGTCCATTTTCATACCTGTCCTAGCACTGATGCAAACATTAGGATTTGCAAAGTTGGAGCAAAATCGGATTTTTTCTTTCTCTGTTTGCGCAGTAAAATATTTTTTTTTTTTTTAATTTCGACCTTTTGTGGTACCAGAAAGAGTGGCCCAATATTACCCATCTCCGAACTCGGTCTAAGGTTGATAGTAATATTACGATGTACCAAATTTGGACCAAGAGAGTTATGGCGGTCACCAGCCAGACAGACAGACAAATGTCCTGAAACGGATAGGGTCTAAAACCGTTATTTCGATTAGGAAAGTTTTGGACGTATCTAATGATATATACCCTCTCTAGCCATTTGGCTGAGGGTATAATAAAATACTCTCGGTCAATTGGTGCACGACCGGTCAAAGTTTGTAAGAAAAAGGTCGCATTGGAGGTCTAACTCGCTCACTTTGTTGTTTTTAAGTGATTCAGAACGTTTTTTTTTTTTTTTCTTGGAATACATGAACCGCAATGAACCATCTGAACCCCAGGGGATTTGTAACCAGTGATGGATTTTAATAGGAGAGCTTGTAATTTATGGAATGGAAATTTTTAAAATTATAAGTACTTCACTCTATAAAAGTTGGGGTATTGTTGATATTTGCCATCGGCTAAATAGCTACTTAATTTATCTAAACTTTCATGTAAATATTGGACACCAATCGAAAACTAAAATCATTGGTGTTATTTGTTCAGTTATGTCTACACATAGGAAAATATTCTGTCCGACTAGAACGTAGTACTAAAAACGCTGCAGGAGGTTTTATCCAATTTAAAAAAGTCAAATCAAAATTGCTTACTTTGTAAAAAATAATTAAATTTTTAAATTCAACCTTTAATTTTTTTAATATTTTCATATCGACCACAACTGATTTTCAATCAGGCAACTGATGAAATTTCTCCAGTAAGAATTTGTAAATTCTGAGTAACTCAAATATCAAAACAACTTGTCCAACTCACTGTTTCCAGTAGCAATTTCCACAAATTGTTAACAATTATTGCGTTATCAAATACATTAATTATAATTTATTACTTGAGGGACCCATTTCGATGGCTAATTGTATTGTATATTTTATAACTAAAGCATTTATGTGGTAGAGTTAATCAAGTCCCTAAATGTTTTTTTTTATTCATGACCCCCTTTCAAATAGATCCAACAATTTTGAACCTAACATAAAAAAGCGTATTAAAGTATTCATAACGCGATACCTCTCCCACTAATCTATTATTACGGATAGTAATACTAGTGCCCGCAAGAAAATAGTGGCGCTGCATCCATTTTCTGAGATATTCATATACACTGCTTTAATGTTTAAATATTGGAAAATGTCATTGTTTTTGTTTATGAAATCGGTTTTTAAGAATCCAATTAGTCTTCATGAGCATATGAATATAACTTGTTTTAAGAAAAGAATTGCTTTAAAAGTCAACAAATACATGAAACATTAGCAAATAGTCGAAAAAAAAAACCGTTGGTCTTTATCGATCTACGAAACCCTAACCAACTGTAGAGTTAACAAAACCGAAAGAAATTCATTTGTTTACTATTGTTTTTTTTCTCGTAGAAGACCAGCCTTCACAAGCAGCAACAACGATGGAGCCACCACAAAAAAAGCCAAAAATACAAAATATGTCCACAATTCAAGCCATCTTGTCTCACGAATACACAGAACCCAATAAATTGATGGAAGTCTATGTCACCGCAGTGGATGACAAGAAACAAATATCGAAAATAATGCAACAACTTGCCACTCTTCTACCAGTGCCACAACTTCAGCATTTAAAACGTGTTAAGGACAACAAAATCATATTGTGCAGCAAGGAAGATGTTGGATCGTTGGAAAAACTGAAACCATTCTTGGAAGCAAAGGCCCTTGACACAGCAATTATAGAAGAAATCTTACAAAAAACAGAAATAGTTGAAGTCCCAGCGACACCACCCAAACTGCGATGGCAATATGACATAGTTCATCGAATATGGCCTTGTAAATTTCATCCAGATAAATATATGGAACAAAGATATGAAGGCACGAATTTCACAGACAAAGAAAAAGAGTTTCATTGGAATATTGCTACCTTAATGATGGATATTTCACGTAAAATATTGGACAACCAAGGAATTGGAGTTTGTGTAGATCCCAGATTTAATAGTCTTGTTGCTATGTCATCTAGTTTTACAACGAAAAGTCCAGTTATGCATTGTCCCATGATATTGGTGGACTACGTGGCCAGAACACAAGACTCAGGCGCATGGAATGAAAAACTAAATTCTGCAGAAGACTTTATGGAAAGTGAAAAGGACAGTGAACACACATTGGCTGGAATACCCAAAAGATTTAAACAATTTATGGATGAACATGAAGACCATAAAAATATTAAATTGGGTGCTGAACGTTTAAGGAATACAGAAAAATTAAAAAGTGAAGATGTACAGATGCTGGATGGAGATAATTTGGCCAAGTATGGTCCATATTTATGCACCGGTTATGATGTGTATTTGCTGCAGGAACCATGTCTGATGTGTTCCATGGCATTGGTGCATAGTAGAGCGAAAAGAGTATTCTTTATTAAGTTCTCAGACAATGGAAGTTTAGCGACACGCTTCCAGTTACATAGTGTACCTGAACTAAATCATCATTACGAAGTGTATCATATTAAGTGTGATAATATCGATATGTCATAACAACAAATAACATTGTATAACCCTATTAAGAATTACAACAACAGTGTTTTAATTGACATAAGAAAATATCGTCTTATGTTCAAAAAATACTACAAATTTAACTACTCTATGAGGAAATTATCTATGGAAATCAATATCGATATAAAAATCTAATAGGAAATGGGAAAGGTTTTGAAGTAAACAACAAAGGAACGCAAAAGGAGTTTAAGAAACAAATAAAACTTACAAAATTTCCTTAAAATCAACTGCAATCCTTAATGGAAACATTGCAAAAATTCATCTGGTAAAATAATGGTTACTTATGTTTAAAATCAACATATTTTCTTTATTCCTTAAACTTCTTGGACCACAGACTTCATAGTAGCCTGCCGAGCGGGAGAGGAAATCAAACCCAACAATTGACAATCTGCTTCGAGAATTGTTAAATCTTTGTTAGAACCCAAGAATTTCGTCGACAATTCCAAATCTTTAATCCTTAGACGGACACGGGAACCGCGTACATAATCATCTCCATTACGTTGAGGTCTGGTACAGACACAATGGAATTTCCAGCCAAAATCAATGTACAAATCATCGCCGACAACATGGAAGATTTTACCACTGACCACCTTGCCCTCGGGATCACCCATCTGAATAAAAAAGAAAATTTACATAAATTGATCTACAAATATAAATGTTTGAACTCACATCAATAAATTTTGAGTTCCTCAACAGGGACGCGAAAGTTGCATTATCGGCCGGCAACTCCTTGGGTTTCAGGGCCTCCGTATGGCTTTCATAAGCTTTGGCAAAACCTTTCTTTTCATTCGATTCCCCAACTGTTTCTGTTGCATCTGTGGTGGTGGCGGAAAAGTAACGTTGACCCACTGCGGCATGTCTCAGACATGTAGTTAGGTTGAGTCTGGTGGCTTTATACAAAAAAGACATTTTATTTTAATATTTTCTTGGCTCCGATTGAATTGTGATAGCCTCCCTAAATCAAAATAATTTTTAGCAGGTTATGTAAAACAGCTGTTAGCTTGTTGGGCTGTGTTCAATTAGCATATGCCAAATTTAAACAGAGTTACCAAGTTTATTAAAAAGAAGAGTAACAAATCGCTTTAATATACTATTTGCAAGACAAGACAGTAATAATTTTCAAATGATTCATACAGTTGCAAACCAATCATCGAACATTTCAATATTATTTCCCATTTCCAGAAGCTGTAGGAATTTGCAAATTTTTGTAGGATAGCTGATTTCTCCATCCCAAAAAACAGTACTGTTAAGTACTATTTTGTAGGTTCTGGAACACAGCTTTCATTTGATTTTTTAAGTAGTCGTTTCATGGTACAATGATATCAAGGTAGGGCTATGATACCATATGATTTTATTTTTTTTATTTTCTTAGCCTAATATTGTAATTGTAATTTAAAACATATGAAAATAAAATAAAATTCGACAATATGAATAAACAAGTATGTTTATGGACCAAAATAATTGTGACGGATAATAGCATGGTAGAAGAATATAGGTAGACGCATCGACACAGCTGCTGAACTGTCAAACCAATTGAAAATGTTGAATGAAAAACTATTTAAATTTGTAAAAATTGTTGAAAAACGCGAATAATTATAACCTCCGAATGACGTCATATAAGAAAACATATAAAAATCTACTTATATATGAAAAAAACATTTAATTTTTTTTTTTGGCATAAGTCGTCTGCAATTTTCATATTAAAATTCGTTATAAATCTGAATACACAAAAACTTTTAAACATGCAGCAGTTTGGAAGCTTCATTATTGTTGACACGATTTAAATGTTTCTGTTTAGTGCTTCCACTTTTCCGTTCCTGTATTTGTTAAAATTTTTTTCTGTGACAGTATGTAACAAATATTTATGGCAGTTCAAATTCTTGCCACTTTTCATCTTCCGGTGTAAAACGATATAATATTGAGTCACTGTACACTAAACAGCTGTTTTGCACTGCAGCTGTGTTCAGTAAGCACAAGCAAACACTTGTTTTCAATTGTAGTTGTTTTTGTAACACCCGTTTAATTTTTTATCATCAGCCGTCACACACGTTTTTCGGTTGAAATTACACAATTAGTTTGCTAGAAGTAGTAATTCCTTTTTTTATAAAATTATTAAATAAAATCTCAACAAAATGATCCAGCAACAACGTCAAAGAATTGAACAAGCTGTCACTGAAATGATCAATGACATGGACAGGACACATTTGCGTAAAATGCAGGTAAACAAATGTGGTAGATGTCAAAGGCCATGGATTTAGAAATGGAACAACCGGTCGCATGTAAATTACCTTGTGATTAGATTTTAATAGAGATTTGAGGGAACAACTCTAGTTTAGTAAAAACTCTTAGATTTTTTCGAAATTTTTTCCAGAGGTAGGTATTTTTACCCTGATCCCGGGAAACTATTTTTTTCTTGGGGGACGGACCCGGGACCCCAGATTTTTGACCCAAAAGTCCGGGATCAAGACCCCGCCTGGACCCGGATCCACTTACCCGATATAGACAATATGGGTATCGATTGAAAGCTTATGGAAATACCTATCCAACAAGTGGTCACATGAAGGGGTAAGTTTTCATGGTTCGGAAGTTATAGTCAAATTATCGATTTTTTGGACCCGGATTTTTTATGAAACCCCCAAAAAGTCAAAAAAGGGCCCATTATGGGGGTCAACAAAATTGTTTCCAAATTATAGCTGACACTCTTACCTTTCCAAAATGCTACAATTTGTGCTAATACCTTTTTCGGTTCCAGAGATATGGGTCTTTCCATCCGCATAACCCGATTCTAACCAGTTCATTAAAATTGTGTTTTTAATAAAAAAAGTGTTTATTTCGCGTAGCAGTCGTCGGAATAACAAAAGTTTTCTAAATTTGGCACTTTTTGTAAATAGCCGGCCTTCGGCCGGGGCTTGAGATTTTCACCTATGGGTATGTCCGACCCCGGCTAACGCGAACAAAAGGTTCATAATTGCGGCACTCTTTGTAAATAGCCGGCCTTCGGCCGGGGCTTGAGATTTTCTCCTCTGGGTATGTCCTACACCGGCTAACGCGAACCAAAGTTTTCTAAATTGGATACCTTTTGTAAGTAGCCGGCCTTCGGCCGGGGCTTGAGATTTTCTCCTCTGGGTATGTCCTAAACCGGCTAACGCGAACCAAAGTTTTCTAAATTTGACACTTTTTGTATATAGCCGGCCTTCGGCCGGAGCTTGAGATTTTCTCCTCTGGGTATGTCCCACACCGGCTAACGCGAACCAAAGTTTTCTAAATTTGACACTTTTTGTAAATAGCCGGCCTTCGGCCGGGGGTTTAGATTTTCTTCTCTGGGTATGTCCCACACCGACTAACGCGAACCAAAGTTTTCTAAATTGGATACCTTTTGTAAGTAGCCGGCCTTCGGCCGGGGCTTGAGATTTTCTCCTCAGGGTATGTCCTACACCGGCTAACGCGAACCAAAGATTTCTGAATTTCATTCTTACGCAAAATATACCTTTTTTATTGAAAACATAGTTTTAATGAACTGGTTAGAATCGGGTTATGCGGATGGAAAGACCCATATCTCTGGACTCAGTAAAGGTATTAGCACAAATTGAACCTTTTTGGAAAGGTAGAAGTGTCAGCTATAATTTGGCATCAATTTTGTTGTCCCCCATAATGGACCCTTTTTTGACTTTTTGGGGGTTTTATAAAAAATCCGGGTCCAAAAAATCGATAATTTGACTATAACTTCCGAACCGTAAGATCTTACCCCATCATGTGACCACTTGTTGGATAGGTATTTTCATAAGCTTTCCAACGATACCCATATTGTCTATATCGGGTAAGTGGATCCGGGTCTAGTAGGGGTCTCGAACCCGGACTTTCGGGTCAAAAATCTGGGGTCCCAGGTCCGTCCCCCAAGAAAAAAATAGTTTCCCGGGATCATGGTTAAAATACCTACCACTGAAAAAATTTTCGAAAAAATTGAAGAGTTTTTACTAAACTAGAGTTAAGCCGATTTGAGTAGATGAGGTGATATGCATAGTATTACTATGAATATGTATGTTGAAAGAAAAATTATATTTAGAGAAACAGTGCCGAAGTTCTTCTTCATCGTAGTATCTTTGGGATTTCCGTGGGTGCAACTAAAATGCCGCCTAACAAATTTTCATGCAATAATTTCCCTGCAAAACATATATGACTGTATAGCTTGGCTTAAGAGGGATTTAGTATCCATTCGCCGACCGTTTGTCTGACAGACACTGAAAATATATTAAGTTTCAACGGAAATGTAGCCGCCCATTTCGTGGGAAGTATGGACTTCACCAAGAAAGACATTATATCGTCGTTCCCAGGGCAGTAATGAACGACTGGCATTAATCCCTACATGTTCCAATAGCTTTCCTTTATAAAAAATATGTAATCTTCCCCCCCGAAAATATTTTGAATAAAGAAACTACTCTTTCTGCCAAAATTCCTATCATTTGGCGGTTTGCTTTTTCATTAATATTTGGAATAGCCCCTACACAACGCTGTATTGAGGTATTCCAAAATCTCTAGGAACAGTTTTCAATCGAACTATGTCGGTTTAGTTATGACTTCTATGAAAATATTTTTCAAAAGACGAGATTCTGATACATACTTTTTTTTTCTCATACAATAATGCTAGAATTAGGGTATTTAGAAATTTTACCTAATTTTTACAAGTTTCTGAAGTTTTCTCCAGTCCAGATGAATATGATACCTTTTTTAAATTAGATACTTAATAATATTTCTTTTTGTTTCAGACCGATATGCATTTGTGTGCCGCCAAATGTTGCCAGGATACCAGTGCCAGTGTAGATAATGTACAAAACTGTGTTGAAAGATGTTCGGCTCCATTAACAAGGGCCCAAAACTATGTCCAACATGAATTGGGCGAATTCCAAGGAAGACTGCAAAGATGTGTAATGGTAAGTTTTAGGCAATTTCCATAATTTTGTAAAATATTAATAAAAATATTTCAATTTTTTAGCAATGCAATGATGATGTCAAGGTAAAAATGCCACCAAATCCAAGCGAAGAAGAAATCAGTAAATACACAGACCAGTTTGAACGTTGTGCCGTCAAATGTGTTGATAAGCACGTCGGCTTAATACCCACAATGATGAAAACAATGAAAGCTGTACTGGCGAAAGGACCTGAGGGAATACCACAAGTTTAAATTTTTGGTTGCTTGATTGTTTGATGGCATTTCTTGCGTTTATTACACAAAACATTTTACAGTTATAAGTGTTAATTTTTAGTTATTTTATGAACAAATCTAACATAGCACGTATACCTCATTACGTGACATTATAAAATGTTTAGTTGTTAATAATAAAAAGAATAATAATGGAAATTAAAATAACTTCCAATGTTTTTCAAAAAAATATTTAAATTGTTCTTATCAAAAAGTGAAGTATATGTGTTCACATCCTTTTGCTCTGATGGGTAGTTAAAATCTCAGTTTGTTAAAAGTACTTAGTTCAATTACATATGTGCATAAATACTTAACTTTTGTTTTTTTGTTTTTGTTTAGATATGTGACATATTTTTTGATTTCTTAATTTTTTTTTAATTCTTCGATTTTATATTTTGTAAATAGAAAATATGAACGGTGATCATCGCCGTCGCATAGATCAGGCCATAATAGATCTAATCAATGATGTTTATAAGTCACATCTAAGAAAAATGCAATCCGAAATGCATTTGTGCGCCGCGAATTGTTGTGACGACTTGTATCGTCAACCGAGCATGGATAGTGTTCAGGGCTGTATTGAAGACTGTGCCGGGCCATTGTTAAGAGCTCAAGATTATATGCAACATGAATTGGGACAATTTCAAGGACGTTTACGTAATTGTCTTATGGTTTGTTTAAATATGATTGTTATTCATTTGTGGTGTTTTTTGTAATGCAATTCAATTGCAGCAATGCAACGATGGTGTCCGTGGCCGTATTCCCACCAATACTCATCAGTCTGATATTTCGAAATATGCCAACCAATTTGAACTATGCACAGGACAGTGTGTTGATAAGTATATTGGCCTAGTACCAAAAATGATGAAAACAATGAAATCTGTGTTGGAAAACGGACCAACTATTGTGGATCAAATGTAGAGAGAAAAAATTGTTGGCTATAAATGATAATCAGTTGAACCTGAACCCTGACTTGAAAACATGTAGAAGAGATGCCAAAAATCATGATGTTTCTTTTAATTTGATTTATTTTTGTATTTGGATGAGCTAAAAACGTGGATTATTATCAATATTTCCCAAAGAAAATACAGTAAACGCGGATTTTTTTAAGAATATTTTTCAAGGAATAGCAGAGCAATAAATGTGGATTTTAAAAAAATTTTTGTTCAAGGAATAGCAGAGCAATAAATGTGGATTTTAAAAAAAATTTTGTTCAAGGAAAGGAGAGCAGTAAACGTGGATTAAAAAATATATTTTTTTCAAGGAATAGCAGAGCAGTAAACGTGGATTTAAAAACATATTTTTTCAAGGAATAGCAGAGAAGTAAACGTGGATTTAAAAAAATAATTATTCAAGGAATAGCAGAGCTGACTTTAAAAAATATTTATTCAAGGAATAGTAGAGCTGACTTTAAAAAAATACTTATTCAAGGAAATAAATATTTATTATTAGGAAATAAAACCACGTTTACTGCTCTTCTAAGAAAACGTGGATTAAAATAATATTCAGAAAAATGTTCTTAAAAATACACGATTACTTGAAAATAGATTGAAAACATATTTACTATAAAATCTTATCAACAATCCCTGAAAAAATATTTATCCAAGGTCTGGCGGAGCTAAAATTGTGTTTAGAATTGTTAAAAATCCACAATTATAGCTCTGCCAAACCTCCAATAAATATTTTTTCCGGGATTGTTGATAAGATTTTGTAGATAATATTTTTTTAATCATTGAAAAGTAAAAAATCGTGTATTTTTAAGAACATTTTTCTAGAACTATAGAGTTATAAACATGAATTTTTAAAACAGACCCTTTAACAGATTAACTGAGCCTACAAACGTAGCATAATTAGGAATATTTGTTCCAGTAGTGGCAATTAATTTTATTTATTTTAGCGACATTATTTACCGGAATTGTTTCAAATTTCGCATTTGTCTGTGCAGGTCCATGTCTTCGTATAGACCCCATATAACGGTACCTCCGATATTCGGTATTTTGATGATTTTAGCGACAATATTTACGGGAACTATTTCAAATTTTGTATTTGAATTTCGTAATGAATACTACAGCCCATGCCAGAAAATTGTCTGTGCAGGTCCACGTTTTATAACCCCCATGGTACCTCCCTATATTCGGTATTTTAATGATTTTAGCTACATTATAAACAGATTTTTTTTTTAAAGTTTCGCATTTAAATATTGTAATACCTCATGACAAAAGTTGCCTATGCATATCCACGTCGTCGTATAGACCCTAATATACGGCTACATTCGGTATTTTTAAGATTTTAACAGAATTTTTAACGGATATTATTTTTATGAAAATTTCAAAAATTTGTACCAAATATTGGAGGATATTCAAAGTTCGGCCCGGCCAAAATTATAGCTTTTTTACTTGTTTCATACTTATATCGCTCATGTGAAACAATCCAGGGATATTTTTCAAACTTGATGTATCGAAATGTTTCTCTCAACCAAAGACTTGATTTCAGTGTGGAATTAATTGAAAATGTACGCATCTCCCAGTATTTTAATGACGAAGTGGAATACTTCGGTCCACTATATCTGTTACCTCACTCACATTGCTACATTTTCCGACTCTTATCACATATCTCATATAAAGTTAAGGAAGTAATCGATAAAGTTCAAATCTGGCATGTTCTACAATTTATATCACCTCCCCACACGGGACCAAAAGTTTAAATAATTATAACGCAAGTCAAAATATATTTAAATGAAGGAAAATTGGCTGGGGGTATGCATTTGTGGTTGACTGGATTTTTTATACCCTCCACCATACTATGGAGGGTATGTTAACTTTGTCGTTCCGTTTGTAACTCGAAATACTCATGTAAGACCTAACAAAGTAAATATATATTTGTGATCAGCGTAAAATTCTATGTCGATTTAGCGATGTCCGTCTGTCTGTCTGCCTGTCTGTCTGTTGTAATCACGCTATCGTTCGAACGAATCTATATAAAAGGCTAAAATTTTGCAGACATGTTCGTTTTGCCAGTAGGCAAGTTAAGTTCGTAAATGGGCCATGTAGGTCTACGTTTTCATATAGCCCCCATATAACGGTAGTTCCCGATATTCGGTATATTGATGATTTTAGCGACATTATTCACCGGAAATGCTTTAAATTTGGTATTTGAAGTTCGTAATGAATAGTATAGCCTGTGACAGAAAATTGTCTATGCAGGTCCAAGTATTCGTATAGGCCCCATATATCAGTACCTCCCTATATTCGGTATTTTGACGATTTTAGGTACAATGTTTGAGATGTCGGATTTGAAGTTCGTAACGGATGCTACAGGCTGTAACAGAACATTGTCTATGCAAGTCCAGGTCTTTGTATGGCTCCGATTACCGGTACTTCTCTATATACGGTATTTTAATGATTTTACCTACATTATTCACCGTTTATTTCAAGTTTCGAATTTGAATATAGTAATGGCTTATGACAACAATGCTTAATTAGGTCCGGGTATTCAAAGTTCGGCCCGGCTCGGCTGTTTTTTAACTTGTTTCATTTAATTCAAATAAATTTGTTCAATTTTAGCTTTTCCCATTCTCTTTTAAATCATCTTCAATTCAATTTAAAAATTAACCCCTTCCTCCTGGGATAAACTTAATTTGTATACAATATGTTAAAAATTGAAAAACAACAAAAACAAATTTATTAACAATTCATTTAGTTATTTTAACAGAATAAATTATGCGCCAAAAAACTTTATTTATTATTTGCAAAAGACAAACAGACACAAACACACTATTGCTCTGTGTGTACAATGACATTTGAAAACATCATACAACATTGTGAGTGAGAAAAAATACAACAACAACAACAATCAGTGAGACACACACACCCGTACTCGAGTGGGTAATAAACTTTTTAATGAGTCCTTGTGTACCATACAAGGACGATGGCTGTGGTTTTGTTTATGTTCGGTTTAGAACAGCATCAATGACGACAAACGACACAATCTACGAGGATCAATGACATCTTGAGTACGCTCCAAATGGCTGCAAATATTTAAAGGGAAATGTCATCGTAAAGTATGACTAATCTCTTGCTAATTAATGACTTTAATGGGCAAATGAGATAAATGTGTTAATGTCAAAATATGAATCCTTTTAAAATGTGTGTGTGTATGTGTTCTTTTTTGTTTTTCTTGGTAAACTGAGTATTTGTGTTTTATAAATACGCTTCGGGGAATTTAAATTAGAGGGAAAATTAGAAGGAAAACAAGAAAGAAGGCACTGCCAACAATACTTAAAGCCCCTATCACTAATAAAAATATAATTATTTCCCTTTTTATACCCTTTACCATAGCATGGAGGGTATATTAAGTTTGTCATTCCGTTTGTAACACCTCGATTTAGACCCCATTATATACATTGATCAGCATAAAATTCTATGTCGATTTAAAAATGTCCGTCTAGCTTCCGAACGAAATGAAGTAAGTTAATAAAAATTTACTCAAATGTGTATTATATCTGTAGGACTTTTGGTATTGAAAACGAGCCGAAGACGAAGATGTGGACCTACTTCGTATAGCGCCCATATAGCGGTGCCTCCCGATATGCGGTATTTTGATGATTTTAGCGACATTAGTTACCGGAACTATTTCAAATTAAGTATTTGAAGTTCATAATGAATTCCACAGCCTACGAAAGAAAATTGTCTGTGAAGGTCCACGTCTTCGTATAACCTCCATATAACGGTACCCCCTGATATTCGGTATTTTGATGATTTTGGCGACATTATTTACCGGAATTATTTCAAAATTGGTATTTAAAGTTTGTAATGGATACTACAGCCTAAAACAGAAAATGGGCCATATAGGTCCACGTCTTCGTATAGCCCCCATATGACGGCACCTCCCGATATTCCGTATTTTGATGATTTTAGCGACATTATTTACCGGAACTATTTTAAATTTAATATTTGAAGTTCGTAATGAGTACTACAGCCTGAGACAGAAAATACAACGGTACCCCCCATATTCAGTATTTTGAATAGAACTATAAGAACTATTTCAAACTTTGTATTTAAAGTTAGTAATGGATACTACAGCCTATACCAGAAAATTGTCTGTGCAGGCTTTTGACAAAAGTTGTCCACGGTCCACATCGTCGTATAGATCCTAATATAAGACTACATTCGGTATTTTTAAGATTTGAACAAAATTTTTAATGGATTTTAATTTTATGAAAATTGCCAAATTTGTACCAAATGGTGGAGGGTATAAAGAGAACCTGATGCTTATTTCGGATTTTATAAACGTTTTAGTTATTCAAAACCTTGACCCTTTGTTGGGGAGGTACCAGAAGGAATGGTCCGATCTCTACCGCGTTTAAAACAGAAATATTCAGATGTGCCAAGTCCAAATGGAATCGGATGTTCGTTTCGCATTTTATGAGTTTAATGAACATTCAAAATGTTGACCTTTTGAAGGGGAGGTACCAGAAAGAGTTGACTGATATATTCCATCTTACCAACAGACTTTGGGTTAATAAAATTATTGAGATGTGTGAAATTTGAAGATAATCGGAATCTTACATCACATTTTGTAAGAGCTGTAATTATTCAAAATTTTGATCCTTTGTGGTTGAGGTACTTGAAAAAGTTGACCGATATTGTCAATTTTCACACCTGACCTAGCACTGATGCGAATATTAGGATAGACAAAGTAAGAGCAAAATTGGATTATCGTTTCGCTTTCTGTGAAGAAAAAATATTTTTTTTGAAAATTTCGACCTTTTGTTGGGGATGTACCAGAAGGAGTGGACCGATACATTCTATTTTCACACCAGACGTTGAGTTAATGAAATTATTGGGACGTGTGAAATATGAAGCCAATCGAACTCTAACATCACATTTTATAAGAGTTGTAATTATTCAGAATTTTAACCCTTTGTGGGAGAGGTACTTGATGGAGTGCACCGACATTGTCCATTTTCGCACCTAACCTAGCACTGATGCAAATATTAGTATAGACAAAGAAAGAACAAAATTGGATTATCGTTGCGCTTTCTGTGAAGAAAAAATATTTTTTTTTTGAAGATTTCGACCTTTTTTGTGGGAGGTACCAGAAGGAGTGGACCGATACATTCCATTTT